GACTGTTTTGTTTGTCTGTTCTCTTGTAAGAATGTATGTTTTCCCTAGTTTATAGCTATCTTTACTAAAAAATAGTTTAGTTTACTCGTTGTGAGAATATCACTATATGAGTGTAATGGAAAATGAAGTTGTATAGTAGTATTGTATAAAATCACTATTGATGTACTAACTACCTTAAAACCAATAAGTTTAATTAAGGTAAAATGTGATGAGGTTATAACCATGCTCGATTGACTAGTATAAAACACGACAATCAAAAGACGTCGAAATGGTATGACATTTGTCACCCGTATACCTTCAGGTCCCACTATAGCTAGCAGCAAGGTGTAGGATGGTCAATCCCGTATAGATCTATACAAAAACTCACGCTCTCCCTCCAGGAGACTCTGGTTACAAAACGTAACACAACAAGTATATTGCCATGCCATGAAGTAGTGGCTCACATTAATGTTATATTGTTCTTGCTTCAGTATGTTCCTCCTTGTTCTTGTTATAGTATGTTCCTCCCTGTTCTAGTTATAGTATGTTCCTCCCTATTCTAGTTATAATATGTTCCCCCATGTTCTAGTTATAGTATGTTCCTCCTTGTTCTAGTTATAGTATGAACTGAACCCTAAACTATACCTATTATAGTTTACTAGTATGTTTGTTTGAACTGTTACTGGCCTGAAGAAAAGATTCAATTATCTACTGAGTTAAGCATGTACTTTAAGAATGAAGTTTTATAAACAACAAACTAATATCTTTAAAAAGAGTTTTTGAATTGTTTTGATCACTTACAAAAGCATAAGAAATCCTTTAATGTGTTGGTTATCACGGTTAAACATTAACACAATAACATTGTGTTCAACTTGTATCCCCCCCCCCTTAAAAGCATTTAAAAAAATTTAAAAGATAGATTATAGGGGTATGAACTCACCTTATGTGGGTGATTCAATTGAAGATTCGAGTAAGGATGAGAAGTTCCACGAATGAATTCCCGAGACACAAAAGAGTCCTAAATGACATATAATGGCAAATATTGGCATGTAATTAGTGTATCTAACTACAAATGAGATTGGGAAACAACCTAGGATGCAAGAATAACTCACCAAAGGAGTTCTAGAAGCAAGTTAGGAGGTTGAAGGAGTGTTCACGGCCCAAAGGAAGTATAGTTCACGGCCCCAATGGAGTTCACGGCCCAAATGGATGGGTGTTCACGGCCCACTTAAGTGGTTCACGTCCCACTTGAGTGGTTCACGGCCCAGTGATGAACATATGAAGGGTTCGCGGCCCAACGTGATGAAGAACACTTGAAGATCTTTGTGTTTTGGCTAGTGTTTGAAGATCCTAGTAAGCTTCTATGGACTATCAAAGGAAAGAGGTGTTTAAGAGTGAAAGATTGAAGTGTTTGTGGATGATACTTGAGAGAGACTTAAGGGTTCACGGCCAAGGGTTGAGAAATGAAGAAAAATGGACCAATCTCATATATATATATATATATATATATATATATATATATATATATATATATATATATATATATATATATGAGTAGTTCACGGCCGTGAACTCATTTTGATGGTGATTCCGGCTTGATTGCAAATCAAAGAACTCAAGCTAAGACGTCCTAACACACAAACCTTGAGTGTACTAGGCTTAGAAACACTGAGACAAACCTTAAACAAGGCTAAAAGGTAACAGAAACGAGCCTGAATTTTGATTGATTGAATTGACTTACAAGGTAGAAATTTTCGGGTTGTCACATCGACCGATCGACATTAGGCCTGGCAGTTCTCGACATAACCTGTGACATGACATGAGATAAACGGGTATGGATTGAGTTTTTCAACCCACCAACCTGTTTATTAAATAGGTCATATATGGGTTTGTCAAAAAACATACGGGTTGACCCCCAACCCGATTTGAATTTTAATAAAAAATTATATATTTTTTAATTGTATTAAGTATTATTCGTAAGAATGTATGATACTAGGATAGGATGCCATTGTCTTCCATAAGGTTATTGACCATTTGACCCGTGACAATTACCATTTGCTAAATTGCACCACGGTTTCCCTAAATAATCTCACAAACACAAAATCGAATAAGCCCTCTAACCCACGAACTCACTAACATGTGAACCCGAATAAATAAGTGGGTTGATGGCTCGTATATGGGTTTATGTTCAAAGTTTGCCAACCCGTGACCTATATAGTTAAATGATTTGTGTTCGGGTTGATGTATTTTGACCTATCAACCCGAATACAACACGATTGTCAGGCCTAATCTACATTGGTCAATCGGGTTCACATTCCATTTGGCTGAAACCGTCTACAATCGTTGTTTTTATGATTTTCTGAAATTGATTTTTGATGTTTCTACATTAGTCAATCAGGTTTATATTTGAGTTTATCAGATTTACCCTACTGGTTTGTGACAACCCAAAGAATAAGTCACCAATCGTCGTTAATATTTAACGATAGGACGTCAAAATGTAATAAGAACAACCTTGTAACCACACGATATATATTAATATATTCAAAATTTCCATCCTTAATTACGTCAGCCATTAGGCTCAAAAATAATTTCACAAAAAGTCGCGTCACTTTGAGAGCAGGTTAGCATATTTAGACTCCTTAAGTCATCGCGATTCCAGAAATATAAATTTCGTAAGAATCCAACACAGTGTGGGTGAGATATGTCATTTATAGTAAATAACTATCTACCGTACTTAAAAATTTACAACGACGAAAACTACAAGGAGATTAGTTGACTTTTGGAGAATGTCACCAACTAGGAAATCGTAGTACTACTTAAAGTAGGAATTATGATGCAAGGAACGCCTAAATGGAAGCCATATGAGAGATTTATGATTTTTATAAAATCATAACAGTAATAAAAAATCGTCGAAAAACGAAACTAAAAAGTAGATGAAACATCCAAAAGGAAGGTTGTAGAGAATGACGAGACCTACACATATATATAAGAGCCGTTGAGAATGAAGTTCGTATGCAAGAGTTATGGAATTTAAAAATTGAATTTTTACCATCATGCGCGCTCGTGCACCTGACAGTCGATACGTCTAGATACGGAATGAAGTGGAACTCAGAGATGTAGACACATGGCAGCAATCTACGGTTCATGCACATTTGCGCCGCGTGAAATGCACGAAGCGCACTCCAAAACTTGCTATAAATAGAAAGCTTCGGCATATCATTTCCTCACCCCTCTCATATGTTCTCTCTCTGTCTCTCTGACTTTTGGTTTCTACCGTACAACAACGTTTTCATAACTCACATGTGAGTTCACGGCCCCATTTTCCAAATGTTTTCGGGGGTGGGGGATACATGTTTAAGATGCAACTCTACATAGTTATTACTAATTTTAGTTAGATAATTACGCTCATAACATTAGGATGATATTATGCCCGGTAGATACTCTGCCCAAACTTTTTAGCTAATATTATGCCTATTTTTTATGCTAAACCACAATGATAGATAAGATCATACCTAGTTGTCACGCTGGCTAGTTGCCAGGAAATGCTGAAACTCGTTATTATAGCCACCCTTTAGATAAGCTTAGTACCTAGTGTTACTCTACCCAAATACTCGGCTATACGAAACACACTAATTATATATATATATATATATATATATATATATATATATATATATATATATATATATATATATATATATATATATAAACCTATATAAATACAACGCGAATAACAAAATGACCGACCAGGGGAGGCCCCCACAACAAGAGTTAGATGAGACACGATTCATCAACATGCTGATAGATTTTCAGCTAGCTCCCGACCTATAATCGTTAAATCTTAAGTGAACAGGAGATATATGTATAGATCTATACGAGATCGACACTCCTACCTGTGGTTGCTAGCTACAACCCGATGACAATTCGAAGCAGGCATAACTTTCTAAACACATTTGCGACTTCCGATGAAGCATCGTGGTTTTCGGGATCAACAGACATAGCTCGATTATAGGAACTCATCGTAACTTTGTTGAACTAAAACTATCTATCTCAAACTACTACTAGGAACCAACCTAAGAAAGTAGTGATAGTACACACAAAATTGAGAAAGCAAGTTTAGGATAAACAAGATAAACTACAATACCCACACAACACTTTAAATTCATAAACTTTTTGACTCACCAGCATTATGCTGACCTCTCAAACCACATGTATTCGCAGGAGAATGAACCCATCTGAAGGAGGATATAACCCCGATGATGCATCCTGGAGTCTATGTTCTTTACTTTTGTACTTTGATTTCGTGACCTGCTTGTACCTAGAACAATTGTGTAATATATTTTATTTAATGAATAAATAGCAACGTTATATCTAGCGTATTACTCAATGTATATCTCTGGCCTGAATCCCAACATCGTAACGTCGAATAGCCTAGCACTTCCACCGCCAGTCAGGGGTGTGACAGATTGGTATCAGAGCTTCAAATTATAGCAAACTTGTAATTGCTTAGGAAATATGAATATAATCTACGACAACACTATGATTAGGTTTAACCCTGTAAGCCTAATAAATTAATAAGTATTAATATTAATTACCCTACATCTTGAATACTTATGGGAAAGGTGACTAGTTTGAACTATCGCTTGGGTTGCTGGATTTTAGAACAACTATATGCTAAAATGGTCCTACCCTCCAGTACTTCTCACCTGGCCAATCCTTACCTGATAGTCTTGGAGTACAAAACCCCAAAAATTAATACACCCAACCCAACAAAACACTAAAAGATATGGAGCGATATAGATACGCTCATACAAGTATATCTACTACCCGCCAACACGAACTCACAAAGTCGCAACTCATGATTTTAGGTTAAAAACTATATTTAGAGTTGGTATAGTACATCGGCCGTACCACAACTAGACCTATAATGCTCAACTAAGTTTTATTATGGTTCGACCAATGCACGACCGAACTCAGATATGGTGGTTGGCAGTCTAAACGCTTGAGAACTTCTGGATTGGATGCATAGACAAGGATTCTATACTCAGAGGCATATTTTAGAAACTTCTACGTCTGGAGATTTCCGACTCAACGACATCGACACTCGAAATTTTCTGCCCAAGGAACCACTGCCTTACGACATAGTAGGGGGACTCGGGAGTTATGGGTACTATCTATTACATACTTATAATTGGATATTATATAGTATTTAATTGATCTTCACATATCTCATAAACATCTTTCATATTTGATGTATTATGCAGCTTTACCGAGAGCATGGAAGGCGATGGATCGTGGAGGGCAGCTTCCTCATCGGAGGAGGAGCGTGCGGTACTCGATGACTCAGACCCTGTCGATACCCTAGAGATGAAGGACAATGTGGGCATGGATCCTGATTATACTTCGGTTGAACACCCATCAAAGCTAGACCTTTCACCAGACTACACGCCGGTGGGGGTTAGAGCTTCTCAGTTCCAAGTACGAGCCCGACGAGGACGAGGAGGACATTTCCATCTCACCAGAATCCTCACCACCTTGCCCCACTCCTTCACATAGATCTTACAGGACGTACGTGAGTACTCGGGTGAAGAAGACCCCAAGGAAGACTACAGTCGCTCCCTCCTGAAAGAGAGTGGTGTCCCCACCAGCATCACCACTGCCAACAAAGAAACCATGTGGATACGCCACTTGGATGCCTCAGATACGAGCCTGGAGGTAGGAAGAAGATATCGACTTGCGATTTGAGGTAGGGGAGTCATCTACTGCACCTCCCCTGTCCCAAATATTTATATAGAGCAGGCTATCTCTCTTCTGGTACCATGTACCATCCGTCACTCAGATCGCCTTGGAGCGATGGACTCTGGGCTCTTCTTATTGAGGATGATATTGATGCAGCTCATGGAGCGGGTGCATTACTTGGAGGAGGAGAGGGACGTAATAGAAATCCAGTCCTTACTCGTCCAGGATCAGATGCAAGAGGCGAGGGACGAGGACCAGTTCCATCATCAGGTGTTGGAGGAGGTGATTGCCATACGAACCAATTAGAGCTCCAGGTGTAGAGGATGGAGTCACGAGTTTCTCCTTTTGATGTTTGGTTAGAGTTTGTGTATAGGTAGTTGATTCAGTTAATGGCTCTCTTGATAGTGTATTGTGGATTCTTGTTTTCTTTTGTTTTGCCCTAACATGATGACTCGGAGGGATATTGATACTCTTCTTTTTGGGTTAGAATACGGGGAAAAGCTCATACACGCATGTTTTGTAACCCCAGAGCTTTTCCTATTCTAACCACCCATGTTTTGGTGACTTCGACATGTTATATTACGCATATTATACTTACCTTATTGCATGAAATATGTGTTCTTGTGGTATTATTGTTTCAATTAACATTAACACTAACACACCACGACCTAACCATGTGGGTACGAACTAATACATTCTGAAAAATTAACTCACGTGTTGACGCTAACTTTAGGAATTTAGAAATAGCACCCCCGAGAATTACCAGATCTAGCCAAGGCCTTCAAGCTGAGAAGGATGCTCAGTCGGAACAAGTAACCCACCTCTAGACCACATGACGATTGAGGAAATTATCGAGCAAAGAATAACCGAGGCACTAGCCCAACTTGGGAATGATCGTCACACAAACTCTAGAACGAGAGGTGAGGGATCCCAAGTAAACGAGAAAGGTGCATAAAGAGCATGCACCTACAAAGACTTTATGAACTGCAAACCTAGGACGTTCTATAGGAACGAAGGAATTATAGGCCTTACTAGATGGATCGAGAAGACGGAGTCTGTCTTCGAGATCAGCTCTTGCATGGAGGGAAGAAAGGTTAAGTTTGTCGCTTTCACTTTTACAGACACGACTATGTATTGATGGAATGTCCACATCAAGACCATGGGTCTCGCAAGTGTTAATGCCCTAACTTGGGAAGAATTGAAGCAGATGCTCATCGAGGAGTACTATCCTCGTGAGGAAATGCAACAATTAGAGCAGGAACTGTGGAACTTGACAATGATCGACACCAACATCTCGACCTACACCAACCGGTTCAACAACCTCGCAACCATTTGCCTAAACCTTGTGAACCCGAAGTACAAGAAAGTGGATATATACATATGGGGATTAGTTCAACCCATTCAAGGGTTGGTCACGGCCTCTCGACCATCGACATACGATAGTGCCAAAAGGTTATCTTACAGCCTAACCAAACATGAAATAAGATGAGTCACTCTGGTCCAGAAGACTGACATCCCAATGTGAAGGGAAAACAAGTGCAAATCCGAAAGCAGATTCAATGGTACCTCAAAGAAAACTCCCAGCAAGAGATAGGAAATTGCCAAGGAATATGCCATCACTCCGACCCCGACACCAGCTGCAGCCCCTGCATCCCAAGGATAATACACATGAAAACACCAAGTGTAACTTGTGTCACTTCCACCACTCCGACAACTGCATGCACTGTACTAGGTGCAATCGTAGAGGGAATACCTAGAATTACTGCCGACAAGCCGTGACTGCTCCTACCACCACAACCAACCCAGGCATGGTTGCCTTGCCAGATAATCGAGTCTGCTTTGAGGTTTAAGTGTGGGCATATCAAAAGGAACTTCCCAAGGCTGAGGAACGAGGGAGGAAATGCCCGAGGAAGAGCGTTTGTGATTCGTGCGAAGGATGTCATTCAGGACAGGAAGTTAGACGCATCTATACTCTTTGATTCTGGTGCTGAAAGAAGTTTATTACACCTAAGTTTAGAAGACTTTTAAGCCATAAGTCTAGGATGTTAGACGAGCCTTATATAGTAAAAATGGCCAATGGAGAATCCAGTAGTACTTAGGAAATACTAGAAAATTGCCTTCTAACTCTCAATCACCACACTTTTCACTTCAACCTCTTGCCCATGACCATCGATAGCTTCGATGTCATCATTGGCATGGATTTGTTATCGCCACACCAAGTTGAGATCTTATGTTACGACAAGGAAGTATGATTACCCTTACCCAACAGGGATTCTTTGGTAATCTACGGAGATAATACCAGCAAAAGCCTCAGAATCATCTCCTGCATGAAGGCACATAAATACCTTCACAAGAAATATCACGCTTTCTTGGACCACATCGTAGACAATTAGGGAAAGAAGAAGGAAATCAATGACATACCCTAAGTATGTGATTTTCCCAATGTATTTCTGGAGGACTTGCCCGTACTACCGCCAATTGGCAAAGTTGAATTTCGGATTGACCTAGTCCTAGGGGCACCTCTAGTAGCAAAATATCCCTACCGATTAGCCCATTTGGAAACACAAGATTTTTCCGGTCAACTTCAGGAGCTTTTGGATAAAGGATTTAAGACCAAGTTTCTCACACTAGGGAGCCCATGTGCTATTCGTCAAGAAGAAGGACGGAGCCTTCAAAATGTGCATCGATTATCAAGAACTAAATAAGTTGATGATCAAGAACAGATATCCACTCCCAATGATTGACGATTAACTACATGGATCCAACTTCTACTCAAAGATTTATTCAAGGCCAGGGTACCATAAACTTCGAGTACAAGAAGAGGACATCTCGAAGATGGCATTTAGAAATTGATGTGGCCACTACGAGTTCTTGGTTATGCCTTTTGGCCTAACTAATGCCCCAACAATCTTCATGGATCTAATGAACCTTGTCTGTAAACCCTACCTAGAAAAATTTGTGATCATCTTCATCAATGATATATTGATATACTCACGAACAGAGGAAGAACACGGTCAACAGCTCCGATTCATTTTGAAGTTGTTAAGGAAGGAGAAATTATACACAAAATTCTCTAAGTGTGATATTTGGATCATGGAAGTACACTTTCTAGGAAATGTGGTCAACGACAAGGGTATTCATGTAGATCCTTTCAAGATCAAGGCCATAAAGAATTGGGAAGCACCCATGACACCAAAAAAAGTACGTCAACTTCTGGGATTGTCAGGATATTACAGGAGATTTATAGAAAATTTCTCAAAGATTTCAAAACCCCTCATGACACTTACGCATAAAGATATAAAGTTCGGATGGAAAGAACAACAAGAATCGGCATTTCAGAAGTTGAAACACATGTTGTGTAATGCGTCAATCCTTTCACTTCCAGAAGGAACCAAAGACTTTGTCGTCTATTGCGACGCATCACATCAAGCCATGGGATGCGTACTGATGCAAAGAAATAAAGTGATCGATTATGCCTCACGCTAACTCAAGACTCACGAGAATAATTACACCACCATGACTTGGAATTGAGAGCTGTAATTTTCATGTTAAAGATCTAGAGACACTACTTCTATGGCACAAAGTGTGTCATATACACAGACCACAAAATTCTTCAACACATCCTCAACCAAAATCAACTCAACATAAGACAACGAAGATGGTTTGAGTTGCTGAACGACTACGAGTGTGAGATTCAGAACCACTCGGACAAAGCTAACGTAGTAGCCGATGCCCTAAGTAGAAAGGAAGGAGTCAAACCTCATAGAGAAAAAGCGCTCACTTTAACAATTCAATCAAACCTTCCTGCCCAAATCTGAGAAGCTCAAGTAGAGGCATTTAAGGAAGAAAACAAGGCAGAAGAATGCTTACGAGGTATGGAGAAACAGTTCGAGTCCAAGGAAGATGGAACCTTGTGTTTCATGGACCGAATTTGGGTACGAAAATTTGGCGACATCAAGAGCCTAGTACTGGACGAAGCTCACAGGACGCGATACTCTGTTCACCCAGGATCTGATAAGATTTATCTTGACTTAAAGAAAAGGTATCGGTGGCCGAACATGAAGCTAGAAGTCGCCACCTACGTGAGAAAATGTTTGACCTGCGCTAAGGTCAAGGTAGAATACCAGAAACCATCGGGTTTATTGCAACAACCCGAAATACCTTAGTGGAAATGTGAGAAAGTTGTCATGGACATCATCACAAAACTACCCACGACACATAACAGCTACGACACGATTTGGGTAGTAACCGATCGTCTGAATAAGTCTGCCCATTTCCTACCCATTAAGGAAAAAAATGGAGAAGTTAGCCTGGACTTATGTCAAGGAGATAGTCCAACTACACGGCGTACCGACATCTATTATCTCAGACATAGACAATCAATTTACATCCTAATTTTGGCAGACAATGCAACGGGCATTAGGAACCCGACTCGATATCAGTATCGCCTATCATCCACAGACAAATGGTCAAAGTGAAAGGACCATACAAACCTTGGAATATATGCTTAGAGCATGTGCGATAGAATTTGGAGTTCCATGGGACACTCACCTACCGTTGGTTGAGTTCTCCTATAATAATAGTTATCACACGAGTATAAAGGCTTCACCATTTGAATCACTTTATGGTAGAAAGTGTCGTTCACCGTTGCGTTGGGCTGAATTCAGTGATACCCAACTAGCAAAGAAACATGCATGGAACACCTTGCTAACCGGACCAAAGATTATTCACGAAACAACCGAGAAGATCATGAAAATTAAGGAACGATTAAGAACGAATCGTGATCGTCAAAAGAAATATACCGACTTTCAACGAAA